GCCAGCTCCAGCCCCAGGTCCTGGGCGATGCGGCCCACGAAGGTGCCATGTTTGGCCTCCTCCGGGACGGAGTAGCGGACCTGGCCGCTCCCGACCTTCCAGGTTGCAAGGAACAGAAGTGAGAGCAGCAAACGCCGGTATTCCTGGCCGATTCCCCAGGAAAACTCCATCTCAAGCCCGCAGTGCTTTGTTCTCATGAAGGGGGTCTTGTTTCAAAATGAAGAGATATCTCCTGACCGTTCAGTCCAGTCCCACTGCGTCCTCCATTTTTCAGCATCTGGATGGTGGATGCAGCTTCTTTACAGTAAGAATAGGAGGGATTTTTTTCCTTTCTTTCTCGCTCTATCGGATCAATTTTATGGTACAGAGCGACATCATGTGGCTCCAAACCGTAAGTAACAGATTCTGGAAATGCATACTCTAAGTCTTAATTATTCTTTCATCCATTCCGCCTTTGGAGAATAGAATCTCATTTTGTACTACTGGGGTACACATTTTGCACCACTGAGATACACATTTTGCACCACAGATTTATTGGGATCCTTAGTTTCACCACAGGAGCAGCTTTCACTTCAGTGGAAATACTTTTTTCATAGAAGTTTTAAGTGTTTACAGAGACCGAACTGTAGTTAACATAGCACTTTGCAAATATACAATTGGTAAAGTGTTGGTTAGGAAATTCATGACAGGTTTTGTGTGTGTGTGTGTTCCTGAGAGTGATGAAAGGTAGTTATTAATGATGACACACTCTTCATCATTGGATTTTACATTCCTGGTGTTGAAGATTTCAGAGAATTAAGCTCTAGGAAAACTCTGATCTCCAAAATAAGTCATTGAAAGAGAATATCAAAAATGTTTGAAAAAGGAAGCAAAGACCATCAGCACTTAATTGAAAGTCTTCCTTGCTGTGGACAAGGAAGCTTTAACAAGGAAGTAGGATGTTTCGGTATATAATTTGTGTTGGGAAGTATTCCAGATAATTTTATTCAATGGAACCTATTCACCTCCCATGAGCAAGATGGGTATTCTCATTTTGTCTCTTACAGTTTATAAATGCTTGCTTGTTCTCCAGGATCTAATATGCCTCAACTTGTATCCTCTCCTACAGCACTCATATATTTTAGTCAAAGTGGACAATTTCCTGCTTCCAATAACATTTTTCATGAAACAGATATACTCATTTCATTCCCTGCCTAAGTAATATCCATCATTTCCAAACTCTTCTCAAAGCAGTTTCCCCCATTATATAACAAGTTAAAACTTCCTTGACCGACAAAGACTTTCATGATTAAGCCAATTGGGCAGGCATCTTCATTTTCTTTTATACTATAGCATCTAGATAAAATCACTTGGGACATATATTACATTAATTTCTCTTTTGTAGGTATTTGGGTATGTGTGTCTAATCCTCCATTTTTGAAATATAAACTTTTAAAGAGAATATTTGTGTTATAATTGTTTAATAGCTCAGAATACTTACTGAATATTTGCTGAACATTTACCCTATAGAATGGTTTGGTTTTCTTCAATTGCTTAATAAAACGCATTAAATTAAGGTGGTCATGCAGCTAGTTAAGAAATATATCTCAGCAACCTCTATAATTTTCCAGAGATACAAAAATATTTTCCTTAGACATTGCTCTACTTAAGGTATATTTCAATTTCCATATTGAAAACCTGAATTTTAGCTTAGTTTTCATTCCAGTTCTTGGCAATCATGATCTTTGAGACATTAATAGTTCTAATGGTCAATAAAGAATTCCCAAATAATAGAGCATAATATATTTTCCTGACACACACAAAACAATATAGAAGGACATGATGGTAGCTATTTTAAAACTTTCTTTGACTTTTATGTTCATAAACCTCTTACTCCATAGTTGTCTAAGACAAAAAAAAATCAATCTAGTGAAAATAGCTCTAGGCTCCCATTCTATGAAAAGCCACACTGCCCCCCCATTTTTCTGAATTAAAAGATAAATCAAAGTAGTTTCACTGTTCCAGTACCCAAACTGCAGATTTGTGCAAAAGGGTTAGTATCAAACACACTGAAAGGAAGTGAAAAGGACTCCCTGTCCATTTACTTTCTTTTGCAAGTAATTAAATGCGTAGATGAGGTATGCAAAAGAATAGAAAGGATATTTATTTGGGAGCTATTCACTACTTAACGGGTATAGAGACAACACATCTCTAAAGGGAAAAACTCAAAAGTCTTTAAAATGTCTTATTAGCTGAGAATCATGTTAGTCAAGAAGTTGAAGAGGAGGACTTCCCTGGTTGCACAGTGGTTAAGAATCCGCCTGCCAATTCAGGGACATGGGTTCGGGCCCTGGTCTGGGGAGCAACTAAGCCTGTGCACCACAACTACTGAGGCTGTGCTCTAGAGCCTGTGAGCCACAACTACGAAGCCCACGTGCCACAACTACTGAAGCCCGCATGTCTAGAGCACAGCGTGCTCCGCAACAAGAGAAGCCACCATAATGAGAAGCCTGCACACCGTAACAAAGAGTAGCCCCCACTCGCCACAACTAGAGAACAAACACCCAACAAACACCCAACGCAGCAACAAACACCCAACGCAGCCAAAAATAAATAAATAAATAAATAAATTTAAAAAATAAAACTATATGCCCATTTGTACTAAAAAAAAAAAAAATTGAAGAGGGGAGGTGGATTTGAAGACTGAAGTCCCACATCCTGGAAGACAAGAACTCTGGATGGCCCTATTATTCACAATAGGATGAAAATGATACCTAATAAAATAAATAGTGAACTGAGGTTGGACATGCTGTGGCTCATACCTGATGGACAGGAGGCCACAAAGGACAGTGCCAGAAAGAGGAAATGGAAGTGGAAAAAAGGAGGATTATGTATTTTATATGTTGGCCTATCCCCCAATGTCATTGAGTATTAATCAGGTTTCACCAAGGAAACTTGAACAAGGAAGTAGGAAGTTGTAGTACATAACTTGTGTGGAAAAGTATTCCACACAATTAGAATGGAATACACCGGAGCAAGGTTGATATCTTCATTTTTGTCTCTAATGGTTTAGAATACTTGCCCATTCTCCAGTCACTAACATACCTAAGCTTTGGTTTCCAGTGGCAAAGAAACTTCAATGGGAGACCAACTATTTACTAGGGTAACTGACCAAATACCAAATAGGGGAATGAATGGAAAATAATTTCACTTCCAGCTATTTGGAACTTTGTACTTGCTACATGACACACATTAATAGGTTGGTATTCAGAGGAGGGTCACCAGTAATAACATTGACTTATTGAATTTTTTGGACATTAGCATCATTAATACTGCATGTAAAAGAGGTTAATAATAAATAAGTTTTGCTAATTGAATAGTTTTAAAATGAGGTATACAGTATTTTCTCTACACTGTTCAGATAGAAAATAATATTTCTTTACAAGATTAATAATATTCTTTCAAACGCAATATTTTCCAAATTATGATATACTAAAGAGAGTATTAAAATTTCACTTCCTATTGATTTCTTAATGCTTACTAATAAAAAGTAGTGAGAAACAGAAGAGAGAAAATGATACAATTCTAAAAGCAATAAATTTATTATTCTAACTTTTTTTTTACCCAATTGGAAAACTAGCAACAATACACAGTATTGCCAAATGTGAGCACAAAAATTAAAACAATCATGTTCAAGTAGAAAGAAGGAATTAAGAATACAGATAAATGGATAAGTGAGTAAAAGAGGCTCTATAGGAGACAACAGCCTTAATAAACTAATGCTTGAAACTGAATATGTAAAAGCATAATAAAAAGGAAGAGTGTCAGTGACATTTGGACTAACATCCAGTAGGAATTTCCAATAAAAAGTGTCATAAGTTACTGAAGCATTGTGCAGGTATTAGCATACCACAGTTTAAGTCAAATATTCTAATCAATTCAATTTACCCTGGAAAATATATTTAGTTTCTATCCAGATTTGTAACAATAAAATAATTCTACAGCGACTTTTAAAAACCTGCAAGTATGGGTCTTACCATTTATTGCTGATTCGGTTCAAAGCCATTAGTCACAAGAAATTCAAACACTTTAACCACAAAACCAATACCTTGAAAACTCTATTGACAGCAACAAGACTAATTAACTATTAAAATGTTTCCAAAGGAGTAGTAACGTTGAGAATTAAAAACAAAGACAGTTTTGAAAGGATTTTTAAAAGTTACTCACCTTAGCAGGAAGATCAACCTTCACATCCGTCTGCTCTTCTCTATCCCCACTAATGGGGCCCGGTGGAAGACAGGGGCTGAAGGCCATGAGGTCTGCCTTGGGCGGCCCCTCCCCAGAGCACACCCTCTGCCGCCTCTGCTGCGAGTAAGACCAGCTCCCCACCGCGCTGGAGCACACCAGCGTGGGCTTCCCGGGCCCGCACGCGCCCTCGCTGGGCGGCGCCGAGCACCGCAGCGCCGTGTACAGCAGCAGCGTGAGCACCAACAGGCTGGACACCGCGCAGATGGCGATGATCAGGTACACGTTCACATCCACTAACGCCGTATCCGCACTCGCGGCGCCGGACGACGCCCGCGAAGAGGCCTTGGGCGCCTGGCCGCTGTCCTCCAGCGACAGCAGCACGGTGGCCGTGGCCGTCAGCGCCGGCTCGCCGTGGTCCTTCACCAGCACCAGCAGGCGCTGGCGCGGTGCGTCCGCCTCGTCCAGGGCGCGCGTCGTGCTGATCTCGCCCGTGTACAGCCCCACGCGGAACGGGCTGCGCGCGCCACCCACCGCCGGCTGCAGCTCGTACGACAGCCACGCGTTGTAGCCCGAATCCGCGTCCACCGCGCGCACCTTCGCCACCACGTGGCCCGCGCTCAC